ATACCAAAAACAACCAAAACTAACATTTTTAACTACTTTTTAACATAAAGAAAAAAGCACACGAGGCCCCGTGGGGGTATATTTCCATGTACAGGTGGCACGCAATGTGTTAAATTTTCTGAAACTCAATTTTGTAAAAAAATTAATAAATACAAGGAAACCCCTTGGGCCGGTCGGTGTTTCATGTCGGAGCAATTGTCGCGATCAAAGCAACGAAGTGAGATGCCAGTATGTATGTAAGTATGTATGTATGCCACAAGGCTGCATTTTTCATGAGCAGTGCGCATTTTGCGAGGCGCGCTACTCAGAAATAATTTTGAATTATACACAGAAAGCTTAAAATCTCCAGTATATGGGGTCGCTTTGCAGATGTAACTGCTTCTAGCTGACTAAATTGCTGCACGTTTTGTAAGATCTTGAATAATGGGGTCATATCGGTATGTTAGAGGAAGAAAGGCAATGAAATGATGAGACGAGTTAAAACATAAACGATTCATATATTATGTCAATCTAATATTAATTATAAATTAATTCCTAGTTTCTTGGTTTATTTTTCAGGAAATTTGCATGTTTAGTATATTAACGAAAGAAAATACTATAAAAAGAGGTGTTTTGTAATTTTTATTATTATTATTACATTTTTATTCAAATAATTTTCTTATGGCTAAAATTAACTGCATCAAATATCTCTTCATCTATTTACGATCAGTGTATTATACTTAATTTGATTAGATACTCAAATATGGACTACGTTTATTGGGTAACTCTACAAATGCCGCTCAGTTTTCATTGAACAAAAAGAATAATATGCTTTATCTCAAAAATGTATTCTACCTCTTCCATCATTAGTTATATTTGAAATGTTTTTATACATATACAATAAAAAAATCATTTAGCAACCGTTAAACATAAACTGTATCCCCATAATACACAACATAACACACAACGGAAAAATCTCCATATTCCTATTTGTAAATTAAAAGTGTCCATATCTATCTGGAATCAAGAATATTTAATAAATTACCATTATCAGTTAAAGAGGAAATAAATTTGAATATTTTCAAAAGAAGATTACAGGATTATTTATTAGAAAACTGCTTTTATAGTTTAAAAAAATATTTGTAAGACCATATTTTGTTTTGTAGCTTCTATTAATTTTCGGTTTATACAAATAGAAATAGCTAATTTCGTGACGAATCTTATACAATGTACTTTGGTCTTATGAAAAATAAAATATTGTAGTATAAATATTTACAAAAAAAAAACTATTTCAAATTTAACATTCTATATCTTTTACCACAGTCACTCTGCATAAATAAGGTCAAAATTTTAGAATCTATGTAATCATATTTAATATTTACCATCTTAATTATTTAGAAGAAAAAATGTATCATTGTTTCTTTTGTAAATATTTGTTTTACTTATTCCGTTCTAAAAAGTCTTCAACTTTCCGTTTTTCACAGTTTGTATTCCCGTTGCACACAAACACTAAAAACAGTTCCCTAGAGTATTTACTGTCATAATAAACGTCTAGAGAATTGCGAGAAAATTAAATGGGCTCCTTTTTACTCGTAGCTGAGCTTTAAAAGTGCATCATCTTAATAACTACCGCCTTACACCAATCTACGTTGCCTCAAATTTATTAACGGAACTTTGCCAATTTATTTTGTAATTAGCATAAGTTGTAAGCTCCAGTTCAAGCTAAATCCATGGTATACTTTAAATTTTGTTGATTTAATTTAATCAGGTCACTCGCTGATATTGCCGGTATCGCTCATCTTTTTTACACTATCTAAGAAATACACATAGACCGGGAGCCCGTGACAAAAAACTAAAAGAATTTACAAAAGCTGAAACTTATTAAGATATTTATAATATAGGGAAACTTAGCCGGTTCTCGACCAGTTAAGGGAAAAGTGAATTTTAAATCTTTGTAAAAAATACATTATTAACTGTAAGTTAATTTTGACTTAACTTTTTATACATGGAACATCTGAGAATGTTCTTGTACCCTTAGTTTGTAATTTTTTAATATATAAATTAGAATATCTTAAAACAACTGGAAAATGTGCTATTTCGGGTGTTCTCGACCAGACTTCACAGTTTACGACCAATTTGAAATGGGTTCTCGACAAGCTTTTTCAGTTTTCGACCCTTTAGGAGTTGATTCTCGACCATCCAAATATATGCCATTCTAATAATAATAAAACTTTAAATCATCAAAAAAAAGTTATTTTTTAATGAATAAAAATAAAAATTTGGGTATGTAATGCGAAAAATAAAAAATAAAATTTAATTTTTTTTATAAAAACAGTAAAAAAGTTAATTATTTTTTTTTGGCATTGGCTGCATTTGTAGTCTTTTGTTGCAGCTATTTCATAAGGTATGTTGATAAATGAAGTACACTTTTTATGGTACCAATTATCACACAAATCACACCCTGTTTTTTTTGTCATCGTCATCTGTGTCGCTGTTTAATTCTGTGTTGCATTGAGTACAGGGTATGTTTATATTATTTTCTTTATCTTTTTCGAGTACCTTTTTTTTAAGTGTTCTGTTTTTCTCTATTTCACCCTTTGCTTCTCTTTTTTTAGTCTTTACAAGTTTCTTGATCTTCTTTTCTTCCTCTTTTGCTACTATTGTTTGGATCTTTTCAATTTCCTTCTGTTTTTTTGCCTCGTCCAATTTCCTATAATGTTCTCTTCATTTTATAGACGATATGGCACTTGGTGTCTTTTCCAAAGTTTTTTCATTATTTTTTTTACCTTTTTTAATTGGGTCAGGGTATTTCAAATGGTTTGCAAAAATTGTTTCGAGAGACGTATTTTTACTGGTTTTTATTGTTTTTTTTACCGCGCAACTCACTGCTTTTTACTTCTTTTGTATTAAAGTTAGTATTTAGGCAAACTATAGTTTCTACGTTTTCTTTACCCATAGATGGAAATATGTCTTTTTTTATATTATTAACAGAATTAACATTATCTGGAGAAACTATTGTTTCCAGTGCTACTATGGCGTTGATATCGGTTGTTACAGTAGGATACGGTATCGATCCTACCTTTTTCTTTATTTTTTTTTTATCTGGAGTACTGGTTGTAGGTATAGAATGTTTAATTTTTTTATTCGGTCGAAGTTCAGAGTTGTCTTCATTAGTACTGATGGCTCCAACATCGTTTAAAAATGATGAGGTAAAAGTACTAGTAATTGTAACATCTGGAATACTTATATTGCTGGTAGTGTCTATCTCAGATGTGCCATTAAGTTCATTTAAAGCAAGGACAACTTCTGCATCCTCTATATACTGCAAATAATTTGTTTCTTTAGATTATAACAGCTTGGTTTCTATTTTTAAAGGGAGAGTTTCTTTCATAGATTGCCTTTTCGAGGGAGATTTTGATTTTTTCCTTCGACTATTTTCTTCCAAAAGCGTAATTTCGTTTAAAACTACTTCTAAATTTATGCCGTAAGATGTTAAATTGTCTTTAATTTTATTAATAATTTTTTTCACTGAACGAAAATCTTGCTGAGTACAGTATTCATTAGATTTTCTAGATTCATTAGGTTTTCTATTACTTTTGGTTAACCTTTCTGCTGTATTGAGGACACATTTTGTATAGACGATAGCATCGACATCCAATGGATATAATCCGCACTTACGGAATTAATTTTTAATGTGGTTTTCAAATTCTTCGTTGTTTGCTAACACTTCATTAAAAAGGGAACAAAAGTTTATTTTGGTTACAGAACTATTAACATTTTCTGACCTACTTTGCCACTTTCTTATAAGGAGACTGCACAAAAACAAGACCGACCGCATCAGCGTCTCTCCTAACTAATTAGGTCACTAAAAGTAGTTTTTCTACGCCCATGTCAGTAAACGTTAAAAATCGTACTATCAACATTCCTTGTAAATGACATTTAACAATAACATGTACTTAATGAAATCTCATAACATACACGTGTGTTTTCATAAGAAAACTTAAATTTCTTGGTTTAAATCAAATTTTTGTCTACGTACGACTTTATTTGGTCTATTTACATAAATTCAGTCATTTAAAAAACACAAAAACTTTTAGCATTACGATACCCTTATAGGAAAACCTCGTAACTCCACACTTTTGTGATTTTGACCTTTTGGTGCCATCTATTGCAAAAAGACCGAACCTATCAAATGCGGAAACCTTGAATCTCCAGAAATATAATGTAATTTAATATTCAACGAAACGAAAACCTCCATTGTGATTATTTTCTAAGAAAATCATCGTATCTCCAATTATTGATTACAGCTGTATAAGTGGCTTGCAGCAGTGTACGAAAAAGTAAATAATTATTGGTTTAAAAGTTTTGTTTGGACAAAAAGCATTATAAAGTAAGTAAATATGTTATTTCGGTAATGTTAAGCTAAATATTATGTTGATTAGTTACGTAGTAGTTAACAGTTAGATAAAATAATCAAGAAATATTTATTTCATGGACATTTTTATTGGCTATTAAAGTTAACTGAAATTATTGTATGTAGATTGGAACCTTTGGCTTAGTGCGAAATAAAACGTAGTTGAACCACTAACCAAAAGTGTAATTTAAATTTTTTAGTTTCAGAATGTCGCATTCCCGTTCAAGAGGGATTTTGAAAATGGCGCTGGAATATTACTTTCTGTTTGAAATTCCAACATGTACTACCGATGTAGGTATTCAAGATAACCAAGCGATCCAAATTAAGGAAGTACTCATCAGTAACGTTGCAGATAACGTTTCCATAGATGTTGGAAACATAAATATTGTTTCTGAAATTGATGAAAATCGTGCCACGGTGCAAGTTCCTGAGCAAAAAATAATTAATCCTGGTCATAGTTCAGGTACTGTTACTATTTTAAATAATGATATAAGTGCCGGTTATGATGGCCTGGACTTCCTAACCGCTTCGGGCGACAAGCAAAAAGAAATCATTCAAGAACCTAAGAGATCATGAATTATTTATTTTGGTTCAAATCAGCAAGAAAATGGCGAAGTTTGCTAATGATTCTGATTTTATACCAAGTATAGACGACCCAGATGAAGAACCTGAACTTGAAATACAAAATAGGCAGAGACAGAAAAGAAGACATGATGAAAGTAAATGGTCAGCTAATAAAAATAGGCGTAAAAGGGAGCTTGGACAAAAATATAAGGGAAGAAAAAAAGTTGATGTGCACTGGATATACAACATTCCTAAAAATGAGAGAAAAATAAAAAAAAGATGCGACTGCAAATTAAGTAAGAATGAAAAAGAAGTCAGTTAAATTAAAGGTACAATGCGAAAAAGTTTCTGAAGACGATAGAATGAAATTATTTCAAACATTCTTGAAAATGAACAACGAAAAGAAAGTTTATGTAAAAATGTTAATTATCCAAGATGACATTAAAAGGCCAAGAGATAAGAAACAAGACAAAAAGTCAAGACGGTTGTATAGTTATTCTTACTATTTGCAACCGAAAGAAACAAGATTACGCGTATGTAAAAAGATGTTTTTATATACCTTGTCATAGGCGAATCCGCTTCTATTGCCTGGTAAAAGAAAGCTAATAATGAGGATAAAGAACAACACCAAACAGTGGATGAAACCGAAAGAAGATCAGAAAGACTTGAAAACTTAAAGGAAAGGAAACAGAACTTATGTTCATTTATTGAGTTCTTGCCAAAAATGGAATCCCACTATTTTCGGGCCAGGACAGACAAATTGCAACTTGAGCCCTTATGGACTTCCAAAGCTCAAGTTTATAGAAATTATATTTCTTGGTGTCAGCAAAAAAGCCTAGCACCATTATCCCAAACAATGTTTTTAAATACATTTGATGATATGAATTTAAGTGTTTTCGCACCAAAAAAAGATGAGTGCTCTGTTTGTGTTGCTCGACAAACAGGCAATCTGGATGAAGCTGAATACCAGGCTCCACCAGTACAAAAAGTTAGAAGCTAGAGAAGAGCAAGAAAAGAACAAGAAGAGCGAGAAAAATAAAATCTACACAATGGATTTACAATATGTACTACTATGTCCGAAATCAACAGTTTCATTTCTATATTACAATATGAAGTTAGTTGTACATAACTTTACTATATTTAATATAAAAATGAAGGAAGGGTATTGCTTCATTGGGAACGAGAATGAAGGAGGTGTGGGTTCTAACGAGTTCGCAAGTATTTTAAGTGTATTTATAAATAAAGAAAGTCATGATATTGGTAAAAATTAAAAGTTAATTTTGTACAGTGATGGATGCTGTGGCCAAAATAGAAACGTCTTCCTTTATTATGCTTTGTTGAAAATAGCTATTGAGAAAAAAGTGACTATTTGCCAAACATTTTTAAAGAAAGGCCATACACAAATGGAAGCAGATTCTATGCATGTCACGATCGAAAGGAAATTAAAAAATAAGACAATAAATATACCAGCTATGTTGAGGTATGTCTTGGCGCTAGGCAGAACCCAAAACCATACACGGTAAAATATTTGACGCATGATTTTTTTAATAATTACTCAAATCTTCAGTATGTAAATACAATAAGACCTGGAAAAAAGTGGGTAACGCAACTATATAGGACATTCGCGCACTTCGTTACAAACAAGATACACGTATAGATTACAAGCTGAGACATCCTGATAATTGGAAAATCTTACCAGTAAGACTGAACAAATCTGTTACAACGGTAATTCCACAACTTTACACTGAAAGGCTTAAAATTAAAAAGCAGAAAAAATATGATCATCTTCAAGAATAAAAAAAAATCATAGTCTAAGATCCGAAATAAGGTTGACCTTCACCCATTTGTTTACCCGATGAAAGTTTTTTTTTAATAAATAAAATATGTTTTTAAATATACCGCAAATGGGTTGCCTAAGAAAATTCGGTCCAGACTATTTATTTTCTTAAAGATTAAAAAACGACACCCTGTAAAGTATTCCCCAAATGCTTTGACTGTGCCCAAACTTTAATCAGCTCATTGCAGGATAGATTAAAGCTTAAGTTCAAAATTTGGTGTTTTTCTCTTCATCCGTTTTTGAGTTATCTTCAAAATTCGAAATTTGCACTTTTCATCAAATATCTCAAATTAGGTCCATTTTAAGAAAATCATGTATAGAAACAAAATAATAGAAAATGACATCGTAAACAACTTTTATCATGATTCCTATACTTTCCTTATCTGTACACAGAGAGGAAAATAAAAAATGGCCGTGACCGTAGTTTCTTAGGCAACCCATTTGCGGTATATTTTTTATTTAATAAAGAAAATCTTTCAATCGGTAAACAGATGGGTGAAGGTCGACCTTACTTATGGATCCTGGACTATTAGAACCAGATTATCAGCAATACTATGCTTTGCCTCATGAATAAAACGTACTGTAATGTATTCTAAGTTTGTATAAATTTATATTGCTTGTAACGAGCTTAGAGATTTTTTAAAGTTTTTTTTATTAGTCTCATTTATCTGTATTCTTGTTTTGATCCATATTATAATAGAACCCATAAAACTAGTTTCTTATAATAGGTAATAAACTTTACATTAAGGAAAACATGTAACTCCAAATAACAATAAATAAAAATTATGAAAATCCCGTAACTCCTTTATTTATTTCTATTACATTATATTTTATATATTATATATCGTCATGATTCTTAGTCCAGAACGTAATCAAAAAAAAAAAAAAATGATTTTATTCCAGTAACTTTAAAAGTCATTAAGTTTTTTGTGTCTCCTGCACAATTTTGGATTTCGGAGATACGAGGTTTTCTCACGAGGATATCGAATAGCGAGATACATTTTGGATTAAAATAGTGATGCCCCTAATTGCCGGCAAATATTATACAATATTTCAAAAAATATGTCGCGTTTTCTTAGCATGCTATGGAAATAAACGTCATGCCACTTTATATTGTCAATTTTTGTAACAAAATATGATTGTATCCGAACATTTTCTCAACTTTACCTACTAATATGTTTGTTAGCAGTGAAAGTGATGAAATTATGAGCACTCCACCGGAGATTTTAGAAAAAGCTCAAGCTAGCCACACATAATTTGTTATCGCTAAAATCCAAAGAAAGGTACGAAATTACCTATCGAAAATTTATGGATTGGCGTCAGAAGCATAACGTTAAATCCTTTTTTGAGAATGTTTTAAGTGGGCGTAGAAAAAGTATAGTACGTTACACAAGTTGTAAGCCCATTACGCACTCGTGAAATTTAGGCACTCGCCGCTGCGCGGCTTCGTGCTTAAACTTTTTCTCTTCGTGCGTAATGGGTTACCTGCAACTCTTGTTACGTAATATACTATTATCGAAACTAAAATTTATTAAGGAGGTCCTTTCGCCACCAATGTTAAATAAAGAATATTAGATTATGACTAAAATAAATTTTTTTCTAATAGTTGAAGTCCTTATTTATCTAATAGTGAACTTTTAACTATACCTTACCGTTCAAATTTTTGAGAATTTTTTTTTTAAAAATGTGAGTATTTGTACAGTGTCTTACGAGAAAGTAGGACCTCAACAACAATTCTCAAATTTTACTATTATTTATTGATTAGATGGAGTAGAAAAAAACTAAAAATAAGGTTTATGAACTATTTAGGTTTTGTTTTTTACAATAAAATATATAGGTTACCGTGGAATTTATTGAGAAATTAATAATAAAAAAAATTTCAAGTAACCTGGTTGAAAATTTTTTGTGATTTTTTAATATTAATTTCTCAATAAATTCCAAGGTAACATATATATTTTATTGTAAAAAACATAAAACATAAATATTTCAAAAACCTTATTTTTCGTTTTTTTCTACTCCATCTAATCAATAAATAATTGTATAATTCGAGAATTGTTGTTGAGGTCTTACTTTCTCGTAAAACACTGTACAAATACTCACATTTTTAAAAAAAAATTCTCAAAAATTTGCACGGTAAGGTATAGTTAAAAGTTCACTATTAGATAAATAAGGACTTCAACTATTAGAAAAAAAAAATAATTTTAGTTATAATCTAATATTTTTTATTTAACATTGGAGGCGAAAGGGGTGGCGAAAGGACCTCCTTAAGATATTTATTTATAATATGTCTATAAAAATGCCAGTCAGACCTCAATTTAATATGATTCGACCAGTCAGCAGCCGCTAAAGATCAGAATATAAAATAAGATAAAATATTTTCGCAGGCAATAATGGGATAACTCCGACTTTGGATAATAATGATTAACAACATATTTACTTATTGTTCATGTGAATAATTTGTAAATAATTGTAAAAAATAATTTATCTTCTATTCCATACCAAATTCTAGTTTATAATTATTGATCTACTATCAACTTCCTAATTTAATTTAGTTTCATTTTCTATCAGCTTATTATATCATAAATTACCAACATTAACAGTAATTTGGTTTAAACCCGTTACCAATTTCTGTACGACCATGAGCCGCTGTAACGCTATACTATACCAATATCGATTAAATCCGGATGAAACTTATAAATAATTTATAGCCCCCATATCGGCAACCGTTTTCGGACATTGAAGAGAGTCATACGTCAAGAGTCTCCGGGTTAATAGATAATATCGCACCCTCTGTTTGACCGTTTCTCATTTTTCATGGACGATGGAGTGTTCCAGAAAAGCTGGCATTAATAAAAGTCCGAGCGGTTGTCTATCACGTTGAAAATTTTTCACGAAAATTGGAAACATTTTACAATACCCTAGAATGAAAGTTATTTGAATAAATTACTAGACTGAGATGAAAAATGTAGCATCACAAAGGCGTGTCGAAGGGGAGTTCAAAGGCTTAAATCACCATTATCTTGAAGTCTTATTAATTTTTTCTACATCCTTATATGAATCTCTCTATTGCCCCCTCAGAGGTCAAGGGAGATTTCCTTCAAACAGGCTTATTTTCCAGACTACTCTCCCTTCTCTTGAGTTCGCGTATATCGGCACTACAATTTCATTGTCTTATTCTGTTACTATTTAAATAGCCTACTCCGTCCCATTCATTCACCTTTCATATTTCACTCAAAACTCAAATATTCAACTTATTAGTAGTTCGTGTTTGAAATAAATTTATATAATATAAAAATCTTCACATTTTTCAATCGTCTCTACATCCACAACTGCAAAACCAATACAACCCAATACAACCCACTCCAACCTTCAATTCGTTTTAGTGAATAAGACTCATATCATAACTACAATGTGAGGAACAGTAGGAACATCAGAGTGGCTGCAATGAAAACAGCTAGCAGGAAAAATAACTATATATTCTAATATATGAAGGGATAAAGCTATGCAATAAACTACCTGACAGTATGAACTATCTAAGCATGGTTGCATTTAAAAGGCGACTCGGAAAATTGATATTTGATATGATTTCTTCGAAAAATTAAAATGTAAATCAGTATTTGTCTATCTGTATTGTTACTTATGTCCGTTTTTGTTCTATTTATATTGAGTTTTTATATTACGATACTTCTCTGTAACTAACTGTTAAAAACTACTTGTCAAGCCCAGATAGCCCTAATTCGGGCCTTTGAATATAATATTTATATTTATTTAATTGTATTTACAATAAAGAATTTATTATTAATATTATTATTATAATTAATTATTTTAATTCATAAAATTACTATAAACGTATTTACATCATACCTACTTGATACTTAGAGTAGCATGGGGCAAAACGACGCACTTAAGACTTGAATACACCTGGTGACCACATATATTACATGAATAAAAAACCAACTGTGTGTAACAATAAAACAACATTTATTTATAACAAATAAACATGTATTTCGCGAAATGCATTAACAAAAGGAACAAAAATTCTAAAAAAGTAAAGTAGTGCAAAATCGGACATTTGCTTCACTAGTGGGGCAAAATTCCAGTTAGCATAGGGCAAACTTCCTACTTCACTATTCACTCAAACGCAAACATCGCAAATGAAAGGGCCTATATTTTCATAAGCTGTACATTGCTCGTGTCACCATTTAGAACAGCTCCCACATTCTATCCAGTCTTCTGTTGGAGGATCTATGTATTCTTCTGCACAAGCAGGACAGGCAATGATTTCGTCAGTTTTATTTTTTTCGGTGCTCTGTTGTTTGTTTTCTTTATTTCTATTCGCTGAGTTAGGACTACTCCCCTGAAGAATCTCCTCAATGCTTTTCTTGACATGTTTTTTCGACTTTTTTAATTTCTGATTTATTTCAGCAATTAAAT